TCAGGATACGGAGGGAGCTCAGGGTATGGAGGAGGCTCAGGGTATGGAGGCAGCTCAGGCCGGAGAGGTTCCGTCTCTGGAGGTGGAAGCTCAGGTCACATAGGATCAAGTTCTGGTGGTTGCATTGGAGGTGGAGAAGGAGGCTCAGGGTGTGGAGGGAGCTCTGGGTATGGAGGAGGTTCTGCATACGGAGGAAGCTCAGGATATGAAGGAGGTTCAGGATATGGAGGAGGCTCTGGATATGAAGGAGGCTCTGGATATGAAGGAGGTTCAGGATATGGAGGAGGCTCTGGATATGAAGGAGGCTCTGGATATGAAGGAGGCTCAGGATATGGAGGAAGCTCAGGATATGGAGGAGGTTCAGGATATGGAGGAGGCTCAGGATATGGAGGAGGTTCAGGATATGGGGGAAGCTCAGGATATGGAGTAAGCTCAGGCAGGAGAGGGTCCATCTCTGGAGGAGGAGGAGGAAGCTCCATCTCTGGGGGTTGTGGGTCGAGCCCTGGGGGCTCCTGCCCTGCTGGCAGTGGGGGGGTCGGGGGGTACAGCTCTGGAGGGGGGGATTGCTCCGGGGGGGACGGGTGTTATGGAGGGGGGACCTATGGAGAGGGGACGTTCAGCTGTGGGGACGGGACCGAGGGATGCACCTTGGAACGGGGCTGGACTTCTCCAACACGGGGTTACTGCTCTGCCTACGGCCCGGGTTACTCTGGAGATGCTGCCCATAAGTAACATTTGGATGCAAAATCCCGCCATTGGAACGGGATGGAGCCGTTCCCTGCCGGGGTTGGGGGCTTTCCTGCTGCTCTCACCACGTCCCACATCACCCCGACCTCTTCTCCTGCACAACCATCCCCTGGACTCTCCCCCCACCCTCTGAGGGGTGACCGTGTCCTGATGGGGTCTGTCCCTTCCTTGGGCTTTGTGGGAGCTTTTCTGGGGCTGTTTGGAACCTTTGGCAACTAAAAGCTTGGAACTGGGTTTGGTTGTTCGTGTCTTGGTCTGGGGGAGGGCACGACCAGTGTCCCCAGGGAGAGGTTTGGTGAAATCCCAGAATCTGCTGAGCTGGAAGGGACCCACAGGGACCATCCAGTCCAACCCTCAGCCCTGCCCAGGACACCCCAAAATCCTGCCCTGTGCCCCAGAGGAGCATCCAAACCCTCCTGGAGCTCTGGCAGCCTTGGGGCTGTGCCCACCGCCCTGGGGAGCCTGGTCAGTGCCAACCACCCTCGGGGGAAGAACCTTTTCCCAAAATCCACCCTGACCCTGCCCTGGCACAACCCCAGGACTTCCCAGAATCTGCCCAGTTGGAAGGGACCCACCAGGACCATCCAGTCCAACCCTGTGCCCTGCCCAGGACACCCTGAAATCCCACCCTGTGCCCCAGAGGATCACCCAAACACCCCTCGAGCTCTGGCAGCCCCAGTCAACCACCAACCCACCCTCGGGGGGAAGAACCTTTCCCTGGGACCCACCCTGACCCTGCCCTGGCACAGCTCCAGAACATTCCCTGGGTGCTGTCCCTGCTTCCCCCAGGGCAGAGCTCAGTCCCTGCCCCTCCTCTGCCCCTCCTGATGCTGTTGAAGCCCCCAGTGAGGTCTCCCCTCCGCCTCCTCTGCCCCGGCTGGACACACCGAGTGCCCTCAGTGTCCTCACACGGCCCCTCAAGGCCCTTCCCCATCTTCCTTGCCCTCCTTTGGGTCCCAAAAATCATCCCCAGGGCCAAATATCAGGTCTTTGGACCCCAAAAGTTATGGCCAAGTCCCAATTTCAGGTGTTTGGACCCTTCAGGTTTGAGCTGGGATGATCCAGCAGACCATTTTCTTTCCACCACCGTCCTCGTATCCCTCCTTTGGACGCTCCAGGACCCTCCAGGAGAGCGTCCTGTCCGCCCCGGGAGCCCAACAAAGGATCCGGGAACGTTCAAGAGGCATCAGACACCCCCATCTAGCGGGAGGAAAAGGTGGTGCCGTGGCGGCTTCGCCCCAGTTCTCCCAGTCCCTGACTGGTGAGAGGCCTCTGGGCTGCTCAGCCGGGGCCAGGACAAGACGTTCCCTCCCAATTTTCTTTGGCAAAAAGCCCTGGAATGAGTCAGGGCTCTGTTGTAGCACCACAGAAAATGGTGGGGCTCGTTGCCGGGCCTGCTTCCAAAATTCCTGGCGATTAGCAGGGGATTAGTGAGCCGGGATCAGCCCGGGGGGGCACATCCAGCCCTCCCTCTGCCGGGAGGGACCCGCAGCGAACGCGGGCAGTGTCCCCAGCAGGGTGGGAGAAGCGGAGAGGACTCGGAGCGTCCGAAATTTGGGGACTTCCCACTGTCCAACGATGCCCAGAAACCTCGTTCCCTGCGGCAGGTCGGGGTGGGACCGGGGTGGGATCGGGACAGGGGGGCAGAGCCCACCCCGTGGTCCCCCGAGGGGCAGCCCGAGGGTGGCCTGGGGTGGCCTCACCCCCCTTCTGGGGACTCGGGGTCACCAGGGGACACCCGGGCTGGGAGCCCGAGGGGAGGCTGATCCCACGGACGGACCTTTTGGGGTGGGAAACCCCAAAGTCAGAAGTTCTATCGGGAAAACGGAAGAAAAGTCGATGAAACCACCCCTGAGCCTTCGAAACTTCATTTTGGGAGGGCGACTCGGACCCAGCCGTGACCAGGAGAGACAGACCCCGTGTGAACTCTTTTTTGGGGGGGCTCGAGGGGCCCCAAATGCCCCCGGGAGGGGCTGTGAGGACCCTCCCCAGGAGCCCCGCGGGGGCGGGAGGGGGGACTGAGCCCAGGGAGAGACAAACTGGAGGCACCAAACGCAGCCCAGGTCGGAGCAGCTCCAGGCCAGGCGGCTCCTCCCGGGCTCCGATCCTGCTCTTCCAGCCGGGAATGCCGCGGACGCCGCCTGTGTTTAAGGGAGACACCCAGCACTTCAATGGCTCCTGCCCCGGGTGGGTGTCATTAATTGCCGGGGCTGTCAAGAAGCCCTAATTAAGCTGCTCGTCTTTCCAGCTGCTCCATCCCATAATTATCCCCCCTGCCGGGCCCAGGGCGAAGTTCCCGAGCGGAACATCCGCACGTAACGAGGAGCGAGGAGACCTCTGGCATCGGCTGCTCTCGGAGACAGAATTCCAGCCGCGTTCCCGGCTCGTTTTCCAGCGGCCTCCCCGTGGAAAGGGGGGAAAAACCCCTCGGATGAGCCCGGGAAGGGGGAAAAAA